CCGGTCGGCCCGACATCGTTCTGGTGGCCACGCATGCGCAGAAGCCGGCCCGGCATGCAATCATGATTTCTAGAGCCGCGCATGCGTGAAGGATAGAACAGGCAATCCAACGCATGCGTACCCAATAGTGGCCACGGGACATCTTCAAAGAGTCGAAAGAAGACGGCAGAAGCTTCGGGAAGAGCTCGAAGCAACGGGAAGCGGCCGGGTCGTCGGGAAGCGTTCAGTCATCATGATGCAGCAAGTTTTGAGGTGTGGGGCGGTCCGTAGGTGGGTGGCGGTGTATGGGCGGTGACAGGGGTGTGGGCTAGGAAGGGTTCCAGCTTATGTATAAAAACGCTTAGGGTTAACAGCTAGTCAGTGCTGACTTTATTCCGTTTACGTTCGTGAAATAAACTGGATGTTCTCCGTTCTTGACGAAGTGCCTCATTGTTTTGGTTACGTGTGTCAAAGACGGGGCGACTGTAATATAGCCAGGTTTTTATGGTCCGTCCATATTTCGATCTCATGTTTAGCCCCTTCCAGAAAGTGCCGCCATGTTGCCAAAGCCCACTTAATAGCAAAGGCCTCCTTCTCCCATATAGCCCATCTTCTCTCAGTTTCTGATAACTTGCGCGATGTATAAGCGCAGGGCTGTAGCTCACCCTTAAGATTTCGTTGTAACAATACAGCCCCCACCGCCACATCACTTGCATCTGCCTGGACAATATACTGTTTCTCGGGATCGGGATGTAGTAAAATGGGCTCTTTGGCAAACAACGCCTTTAAATGTTCAAATGCAGCTTGACTTTCCTTAGACCACGCTAATGGTTGACCAGGCCGTACCCTTGTCGGGGAGTTCCGTGTTTTCAACAACTCTGTGAGTGGCAAAGCCACGCGGGCAAAATGAGGAACAAACTGCCTGTAGAAATTCGCGAATCCTAAAAAGCTCTGCAACTGGCGTCTCGTCCGAGGCGCCTGCCACCCAAGTACTGCTTTTACCTTTCCTGGATCCATTTCTATTCCCGCAGCAGATATCTTATACCCCAAATATTCGATACAGGTTTTATGGAACTCGCATTTCGAGAGCTTCACGAACAGCTGAGCCTGGAGGAGTTTGCGTAACACCTCTCTAACCAATTGTATATGTTCCGCCATGGTTTTAGAATAAATCAAAATATCGTCTAAATAGACTAACACCCCTCTATATAAATGTTGATGCAACACCGCATTAATGGTCTGCATAAATACCGCCGGCGCTCCTTTGAGCCCAAACGGCATGACTGTAAACTGGAAGCTCCCTAAAGGGCAGTTAAATGCGGTCTTCCACTCATCCCCTGGTTTTATTCGAATGCGATAATATGCCTCCCTTAAATCCAGCTTAGTAAACACCCTCCCTTGGGATAAATGAGACAGCATGTCCTTCAGCAGGGGTAATGGATACATGTTTTCTGTGCTTACCGCATTCAACCCCCTAAAATCCACGCAAAGCCGTAATCCTCCGTCCTTTTTCCCTTGAAATAACACCGGAGCCGCAATCCGTGATCGGGCCGGCTGTATAAACCCCCGCTCTAAATTTTTATCGATATATTTTCGTAGCTCCTCTAACTCCTTAGGGGACATGGGGTACATCCGAGGCCTTGGCATTTTTGCCCCGGGTATGATATCTATAGCGCAGTCGGTAGGACGATGGGGCGGCAACGCATCACACTCTCGCTCGCTAAACACGTCCTGTAAATCCTCATATTCCACAGGAAATAACCGGGTACCTCCACCTGTGTCCACCGCTACTCTGATTCTTTCCTCCAGCCGTGGACTACCTTGTGGGGATTGTACCTGCGGTTCCTCACCCTCACTGCCTGGGGGTCGAGGGCCTACTGCTAACCTTATACGGCGACATCCCCCTGCCCACCAGATAACTGGTTGCCATCTGTCAAGCCATGCCAACCCCAGGATCACGTCCTCGGTCATTGAGGGGATGACTATAAAACGCAGCAATTCCCAGTGTTCCTGCATCTCTAAGCGCACCAGTTCCGTTACATAGGATGCCGGTGCCCCACCTAGTAAGGACCCATCCACTTGTTCAAAATTGATGGGTCGAGATAATTTAACCAATCGAAGTCCCAACGCATCCGCCACTTTTCTATTGATCAAACACCGGGTACACCCTGAATCTATTAATGCTTGACATTCTATGCGTTGTTTGGACTTACAATCCCCTAGGCGGATTGGCACGGTGAATGGAACCACCGGATTACTTACCATGGGATCTTGTTCCGGATCCTCCTGGTCACACCTCTCGGGAACTACCTCCGGGGTGGCAACCGCCACTACAGGTATAGCCTTATAAGGGGTGCTGCCTTCATCCTGCAAAGCCCTCAATTGATCTTTTCCTCGGAACGGGGTAACCTCCTGCCTTCTCATTCCTAAAGCTGTCTGTCCCGGAGTTGAACCTCGTCCAGGTGTAGTTGGGCACTGGGCCGCCCGATGACCCGGTTTATTGCACCTAAAACAACGAAACGTCCCTCTTGGTGCCCCGGGCGGAACTGGTTGAACTGGAACTCCCGACAGTCCTGGTTTGTTGGTTGTTTGCTGAGGCGGCGCCGGAGGAGAGACGGCTGTTACCGGTCTGATTTCCTGTAACCCTGCATAGAGTTCGGTCACTGTCCTGTACCAATCAGACAACCGAGATGGCACACCTCTCATCAGGCAAGCCTGTTGGAGTTCCACATCGAGTCCATGCCTGAAAGGATGTACCAACAGCTTCTCAGGCCAAGATCGTAGTCGACCCCCGCAACTGTGGGCTACCCAGACGGAATCCGGATGACTCCTCAGGGCGATGAGCGGCCACCCCCTGTCTGGGAAGGAACCCTGGCTCCCCAAACCTAGCCTTGAATACATCGAGGGTATACTGCCCTGGAGTGGTAGAGTAACTCCAGTCACCTCCATCGTCGCCGACCACTCTCCTCTCCCTCCAGCCCATCGCAGAGCCCCCGTTATCCTGTATGGACCGACGCTTGGTGTCTTTTCGTTGGGACGTGGAACTCAGTCCCCAGCCAGCCGCCTCTGGTAATACCGGCCTCTGCTTAACCCCAGGGTCCACATCCCCCAGCAGCGGAACACTTTTCTCCTTTGGACGAACAACCGGTCCTTCCGTGGCTGCCCCTGGATCCACTGACGTGCCAGGGTCCACCGACTGCTCAAGGACTTCCTCCAACACCCCAATCTCCTGGACACCTTCGGCCATGCTGCCTGTAGTCAGCTCCACGGTAAAGCCAATAAAGGAGCCTAACTAGTGTATCTGTCCACCAAATACCTGAAATTAAGAATCCCGTGTAAAAAACTGGGACCTAAATATATTGGCCCGTTCAAAATTGTAAAGATTATTAATCCTGTAACCGTACAACTGCAATTACCCCGACTGCTAGGAAAGGTGCACCCTGTATTTCACTGTAGTTTGCTTAAACCAGTCCATTCATACCAAATGGACACTAGACCAGGCCCTATTAAAGATGAACGTTATGAAGTGCAGAAGATACTCGATTCCCGTAATCAGAGAGGCAAGTTATATTATTTAATTAAGTGGAAGGGCTATCCTTTGGCAGAAGCTACATGGGTACGGGCAGATGATGTATAAGCCCCTAAATTAATCAATCAGTTCCATGTGGAAAACCCAGAAAAGCCGGGACTATGTGGGGTAGCGGGAGTGGACAAAAGGGGGTAAAGATACGGGTATAACATATTTGTTTGTTTCCCAGGGGGAACCGTGGTGAAAGGGGGGCAGTATGTCGGGCCGTGCTGCAACCAACCGCTGCACCTACCTGCGGCAGCAAGGCACTCGCCACTCTGTGTGACGTCCGGTCGGCCCGACATCGTTCCGGTGGCCACGCATGCGCAGAAGCCGGCCCGGCATGCAATCATGATTTCTAGAGCCGCGCATGCGTGAAGGACAGAACAGGCAATCCAACGCATGCGTACCCAATAGTGGCCGCGGGACATCTTCAAAGAGTCGAAAGAAGACGGCAGAAGCTTCGGGAAGAGCTCGAAGCAACGGGAAGCGGCCGGGTCGTCGGGAAGCGTTCAGTCATCATGATGCAGCGAGTTTTGAGGTGTGGGGCGGTCCGTAGGTGGGTGGCGGTGTATGGGCGGTGACAGGGGTGTGGGCTAGGAAGGGTTCCAGCTTATGTATAAAAACACTTAGGGTTAACAGCTAGTCAGTGCTGACTTTATTCCGTTTACGTTCGTGAAATAAACTGGATGTTCTCCGTTCTTGACGAAGTGCCTCATTGTTTTGGTTACGTGTGTCAAAGACGGGGCTAACACCTTGGCTCTTTTATGACTCATGGACTTCAACTCCCAGAATTCCTGAGCCAGCATGGCTCAGCTTGGAAACCTCTCCCTTTCCCCTCAGCATGGCTGGCTCAGGAATTCTGGGAGTTGAAGTCCACGAGTTATAAAAGAGCCAAGGTTGCCTACCCCTGCCCTAGGGCTAGAATGTGCAGTGTAGCACAACTTATCGCTTTAGTTTGTGTGAAATGCATATTTTATGAGTTGCCGTTACAGTAGCCATGTTGTAACTAGATAAACAGATATTTTTGATGTTCCCTATAATAACGTCTTAAAGTTCCAGAGGTGCTTATCAATCCTAAAATTCTGAGGAATCATGGACTAAAATTGGACCACTATATTTGTTACTTTGGGATCCGCTAGCTCTTTTATTTCTGATTTAATTAATGAGAGGAAGGATGAAGATCCAAGGTTCATCCTGATGTCCTTCATAGATTGAATGATATTAGCTTCAGAAGCAGGAACTCCTTTTTGGCCATTGGTATCTCCTTCAGGATGAATGTATGATGGGGAAAAATGAGAAATTGACATATTTGACAATCTGCATGCAAATCCCAAAATATAATGGTGCACTCATCCTTTTTCAGTTTGCAGTGTGTAGACAAATTCCAGTTTTCAGGGTAAACACAAATCAAGAAAAGTTGATTTTCAGTGTGATATCAATTGTTTCACAGGCTCAGGCTGCATGAAGAAAAAATTATTAAGGACCGAAGACACCACCTGAAGACTTACCCAAACTGTTTTGTTGCCAAAGAATTGATTGACTGGCTGATTGATCACAAAGAGGCCTTTGACAGGGAGACAGCAATTAAACTTGTGCAGAAGCTACTGGATCGTAGCATTATCCATCATGGTAAGTGAAAAGAATCAACATTCTCAAGCGCTTACCCAGAAATGCTAGTTAGGGGTTCTGAAAGAGCTCAGGATACGTTGAGGAGATGAGTGCTGTGGTTTGGAAATGTAACATGAAACCACAAAACGTAAATAAAAATATCTGGAGTGCTTCATCCTGATTTCCTGTGTTTTATGTTTCAGTTTGTGATGAGCATAAAGAATTCAAGGATCTCAAACTTTTCTACCGCTTTAGGAAAGACGATGGGACATTCCCACTAGACAACGAAGTGAAGGCTTTCATGAGAGGACAGAGAATATATGAAAAGTACGTTCCACACACAGTAGGTTAAAAGGATATCTAGTCTTTCCCGCCCTTGTCCTTTGTTTCTGATGTTCTGTTATGGTGTTGTGACATATCTAGGCAAAAGATTGTGGGCCCTTTCAGAAAGGAAATCATTGGGACCAATGCTTGCAGAAACACAGCCAATGTAAAGGAAATAAACATCAGAGTAACAGAGTTGAAAGGGACCTTGGAGATCTTCTAGTCTGACCTCATTACAAATGCTTGTAAATTGCTCAGTGGCCAGGGAATGCAGACTAAGAGTTACTTGTTGAGATGTGCAGCTGTAGAAATCAACTCAAATCAATCAGTAAAAATAAGTTGTGGGGGTAGTGAGATCAAATCTGATCACTAGTGGGAATGGAATATAGTGGAACATTGGTCTAGTTATACTTGCTCCTGGTTTTCCACCAGTGTTGCTCAACGGATTTGTTCAGTGACTTCATTTCCTGGAACTTCTCAGAGACTAAAAGCACCTCCTTGGATTGGTGGACAAGAAGATAGAGTTAATTTTATGTAGCAGCTGCTTCCGTTATCCAGAGGTTAAACAGATATCTACAAAACTGTTCTCCAGAATACTGGGAAATGCTCCAGATATACCCTGGAAACTCTCTGGATCCATCAGTGGTCTGGGGCAGGCCACCTTAAATTGGCCCTCCTTTCCTATGGCAGCTAGTAGTTCCAGTTAACCCCATGATCACGAGGAAGCAATCTGTCCATCTTTAAAACCCTAAGTGGATTCCAACCTGCATGCTAGAACATTGCTGTCCTGTGTGAATTCACCTGTTCTTAAGATCAGATGTTGTTTCTTTTGTACTGTTACCTTCAGAGACGTGGTTAGTGTGAGCATACAACAGTGCTTTCTCACTGGCAACACCTTATATATGGATCTTCTCTCCAAATAAATTAAGGCATATTCTCCTTCAGTTATTTTCTACTGCCAAGTACAGGCATTTCTCTAACACTCAAAACGGCTTACGAAATAATCTTAACACATTAATGTAGAAAAGATCCAATCTCAAAAAGCTTGGCAGAATAATAGAACAACAGTTGGAAGGGACTTGGAGGTCTTCTAGTCCAGACCCCTGCTCAAGCAGAAGATCCTATACTGGTGGTTCTCAACCTGTGGTCCACAATCCCATGGCAGTCCGTAATGTCACAGGGGGTCCACAAAGGCTTGAAAAATGAATTGTCTTGGTGGTCTGTGGCCAGTGTCCGTGGCCACAAAAGATATTTAAGGGGGGTCCATGGTGAAGAAAAGGTTGAGAACCACTGCCCTATACCATTTCAGACAAATGGTTCTCCACCCTCTTCTTAAAAATCTCCAGTGATGGAATACCAGTTGAAGCTCTGCCCGTGACATTAGACCTGGGGAAAGTGAGAACAGGGAGGAACAACAGCAGAAGTCTTCTTTTGAAACCAGAAAGTGTGTTTGGGGGGGGGGGGGAGGAAGGCAATCAATTTAGACTAATGCTAACACTGACCTTAACTTTCAGAGGGATTGCAAAATAGCAGAGTGGGGAACAGAGCTAACTTTATTTCCAAACATCCCATATTGAATTTCTCAAGGTATTCTGCAGAGTTCTGGAGGGGAGAGTAGAGCAGCTGAAATAACAGCAGGAGCTGGGCATAGCCATCCAATGTCACATGTCCTTATCCATTGATTTTAGAGAGGGAATCCCAGTATAATACAATGATTTATGGGATGGCTGAGACAACTACAAAACAGAGGAGTTGTTTTGTGATGTTGGCGGTGGTTTGTTCTCTGAGCTTGTTGTTTAGTTTCCGAATGTTTTGTCATCAGTTCCATTCTCTTCAGCTTTTATAGTTCTTATATGGTCAACTGGATGACCTCACCATCAAATGACCTTGACATGTCATGAGCAGTTGGTCAAGCAACCCACTGACCACATAAGATGTACAAAAGCAGAAGAGAACTGAAACAAGACACTTCAACTGAAGTTCCACTGCTGATGTTACCTAGCCTGGTGACAAAACATTCGGAAACTAAACAACAAGCTCGGAGAACAAACCACCACCAACATCACAAAACATCTCCTCTGTTTTGTAGTTGTCTCAGCCATCCCATAAATCATATTCATAAACGAAACATTTGGAAACTAAACCACAAGCTCAGAGAATAAACCATCATCTACCACCCGAGCTACCAATATTTTCCACTATATTTCTAATGTTTTGTGAAGTTTACATGTTTTTTTTCATTCTTTTTAGCTTATCGGCATGTTTTATTATTTTACAGTTTGTATATAAAGTCATTCTGAGTTGCTGGTTTGGTACAGGAGAAACAGGGTTAAATGCCATCTTTAATGTCTTAAAGAATTAATATACACATTACTCATTTAATGCATGATTTTCATCCTGTTCCAGCTCTTTGGGTTTTTTTCCCCAAGAGAAATGTTACGCTAAAAACTATCAACGGTTATGGAAGATAAATCCACAGCGTATCATCAAGATTCAGAACAGAAGGTTGCATGGGAAATATTGAATGTCATGCTAGATTGTTTGGGTCAAATAACAATGGAAGTAAATCGTACTCTCTGTTCACAATAACAGGCATGTGATTTTTGCTCAAGCTTTGCAGCTTGCTCGGAACATGGGTGTTGACATTTACTAGGAGTTGACATTTACTAGATCTGGGTAGTACAAAAGGTGAACCATTGTGTAATTGGACAAATTAAATAGGAGGCTTTGGGACAATGCTCCCAATCTGAATAAGCAAAGGTCGCTATTTATGGGGCACCTTACAGAAGAAAAGGTTGCATTTTGATTATCTGTTGTAGATAACGGTACAGTATTATCATGTCAAAATTAAAGTCAAAATTAAAAAAAAAGGAGATGGAAGCTCTAGAGATTGTAGATGGTGACAGATGAGTTGCTTTAAATGTCTTCAAAAAATTATTTGGAAATTGAAGTGTTGCTGTTTTTGTTTAAATGTGGATAAGAGCATGTGGGAGGTGCCATTAAAGATGAGGTACCAGGAGCCCGTGAAGGCTGTTGTCAGTGATTGGTGAACATCATCCTTTTATGATGCCTAAACAAGGTTTCTCTTACTTTTCTTTCCTTGCCCAATTATTTATATCCCACCCTTATTATTTTTACAAGGCGGCAAACACACCTTCCTCCTCCTATTTTCCCCAAAACAATAACCTTTGAGGTGACTTGGACTGAGAGAGAGTGACTGGCCCAAGGTCATCCAGCTGGCTTTCATGAGTAGGGCAGGACTTGAACTCACCACCTCTTGCTTTCTGAACTGATGCCTTAACCACTAGCTCAAACTGGCTCTCTGTTAGCCCCGCAAGGTAGTCCAGGTAGTCAAGAAACACAACCAGAATTTCTAGCTCTATTTTTATTGTAAGATTACATTCATTGAATCTTGCAAGACTGAAAGCAGTTCTTCCCTCACTTTCTTTTACTCTTTAAAAAACTAAGGAGGATCCCTTCTGAAACACTCCCACACAACTATCCTCTTTTATGGATTGAGATACCTTTTACAGGTAGTTCTCAACTTACGACCACGATGGAGCTTGCACATTACAGTCATGTGTCATGATGGTTATAAAGCAGGTCAACACATGACCAACCCAATTTTTTTTGACGTATTCATTAACTGAATCATTATGGCGATTAAGTGAATTTGTGGCTGTTCTCATTGTCCTCTGTGGGATGTTTTTGCCCAAAATGAAAGTAAATGCTGGTTTTTGGCAAAAACATCATACAGTGCTTTCCCCCCCCCCCAAAAAAAATTGGGGTTACTTGACCACCAGGGGAGGAAACGCTGTAAATGCAGGCCGGTTGCTGAGCATCCAAAATGTGGTCACATGAACAGGAGGGCAGCAGCCATTGGAACTCTGGAACTGGGTTGTAAGTACCTTTTGGAGGGTCCACAGGACTGAAATCAGTTGCTAAGCAACTGGTCGTAAGTCCATTTTTACAAACCATTCTCCAGAGTCTGTGGCTCTTGCTCCTGATTCCCGAGATCATTTCCACATACCACTACATTGTACCTCTCAATCCACTTTTTTTTCTTCTCCCTTTTTTATTGCAACTAGAAGGAGAAAAGGGAATGTCCATATGTGTGTGTATATTGGTAAATGTCGATGTGAGAAAGGGAGAATCATTGGTGTATTTTATAAATTAATGCTGAACTTTTTAAGCGATACATTTGAATGAGTAATACAATAAATAAACAATAAAAAATCAAGCAGGCAGCCATATTCTGTACCAGTTGCAACTTCTAAATAATCTTCCACAGAGTCTCAGAAAATGCAAATTGCAGTAGTTTAATCGAAAGATGACCAAGACATGACTGTCTATGGCAGGGGTAGGCAACTTTGGCTTTTTTATGACTCATGGACTTCAACTCCCAGAATTCTTGAGCCAGCTTGGCTGGCTCAAGAATTCTGGGAGTTGAAGTCCACGAGTCATAAAAGAGCCAAGGTTGCCTACCCCTGGTCTATGGAGATTCTCAGTCATCCAGGTCATGGTTGTCCCAAAGGTGCTTTTCCAAAAGACAACTGGACCTTTTTCTTGAAAACATTTTGCTTCTCATGCTAGAAGCTTCTTCAGTTCTGACTGAATCGTAAGGAATGGAAAGATTTATATGATATATATTTATATAAATCTTTTCATTCCCCACCATTCAGTCACAACCGAAGAAGCTTCTTGGATGAGAAGTGAAATGTTTTGAAGGCAAAAACCAAGAAAGTTCAGCTGCCTTTTGAAAAGCACCTTTGGACATAAATCCTTCAATGCTTTCTGGTCCAGAAATGGGTGAAGTTGGCGTGTGCATGCATGTGCGCATGCACACATACACACACACACACATGTAATATACCATAAACAAGGTAAAGGCTGCCCTGTCATTGCCTCCACCTGTTTTTTCCAACAGAAATCATGAGTTCAGAAGGCCCCCCCCCCAAAACTGACTTCAGGAAATTGATTCTGGCTTGACTTCTCCATTTAGG